TTACAAAGGTGAACCCCTTCCAGTCTCTTTGTTGTGGGGAGACCAAACTCTCCAGTGGAAGAATTCCAGGGAAAATCATGAAGTTTCCATTCCACCATTCAGGAATAACCTTCATCGACGAGAAAGGTCCAAATCTTAATTGCAAATGGTCCAAAGCTGCAGACATCACACCACCCAGTTCTACACACTGAAAGAAGTCACAACCTTGGGTTCTGAATCAGTTTCACTTCCAGGTTAAATTTCCAGCATGTGTACCTCTCTGAAAAACACCACTCTTTACTCTAGATTTAAAGATGCCTTCCCTCTTGACCAACTGAAGTTCTCTACTTGGCTGATGTGATTTTTCAATTGACTTTTTGCAGCGAATTTCCATTGACCAGGTTGTTATGTCCTTTACGACACATGCCTGACCTTGAATTAAATAAATACAAGCTGCTTTTCCAGGATGCACATTCTTCACACTTTCAAATTACTTTTCACTTAATTCTATTACACGGTCAATGAACAGAGATGTTGAATGCAAATTTTTGTTTTATTTTAATGAACTTCAGAACTGGTCCTCCAGAGGATACAATAATTCTACAACCCTGCAAAGCAATAACACTGGGGTCCAGAATGAAAAATAAAGAAGTATCTTTCTTCTGAACATGCTAGAAGGAGCTAATTATGTCATCAGGGTACGCTACGACTTGTGCTGAAATCACCAGCGACGGCTATTAATGTGAAGTAACTGTTGCACACAGAGCACTGTAGGGTTTCCCTCCCCCAAATATATTAGCCTTCACTTTTTTGTACTTATTAAAAATGAAAAATGTCTGGCCCGATGTCATAACACCACAGAGAGTTGCGTTGTGTTTTGTTTCCTTCAAAACTTTGCATTGTGTGCTTACTGCAGGCAAATTTCAGGGCCAGATTCTGCAGGGATTTTATGCAGGTGCACAATACGAGGGAGAGTGTAAAGACCTTCCCCACCCATTGCTCGTCTCAGATAATGACCAGGGGAACACAAGGATGGCTCTTTCCTAACTCCGGGCCACGGTTCCCCAACATGCACCAGCTTGTGAAATTCACCAGTGTGAATAAATCACGCCCCTCGAGCAACGTAAGTTACACTGACATAAGAACTAGTGTGAACAGCGCTATGTTGGCAGGAGAGCTTCTCCCACTGACATAGCTACTGCCACTTGTGGAGGCTGGAGTAATTAAACTGATGGAAGAGCTCTCTCCCGTTGGCTTAGAGCGCCTACATTAGAGAGCTTACAGTAGTGGTGCAGCTGCACTGCAATAAACTTCTTGGGTAACCATTCCCTCAGGCAGCAATGCTGGACCCTCCTACTGCCTATTTTAAATGTTGGCACACTTAGTATTTCTGATTAGTGATATGTCATCATGCACAGCCTATCTTGGCATGCCCAGAGGATGTAGGATTTGAGATTTCACAGTTATATGGGTATGGCTACTATTGAATTTTTAGTTATGTTTCAAATTGAGTCTAGACAGGTGTGATGGGGTGTTCACCCCACACTATCCCAGAGAGGGTTATTGTGGCCCAGGATGGGTTAAGTAACCTGATAGGCCATCCCGAGGGGGAGTTAGCCTTGATGATCAAGCACTGAGTAGGGATGAAGACCAGCTGGGCAAGGGCAGGCAGGGCTGGTATAAGGTCAGGAAGTGCGGGCAGGAGATGGCAGTCACTCTTTGGGCTTAGAAAGGGAAAGGAGAAGACTCACGGGAGAGTAGAAGCCTGGATCCTGGGCCTTAAGGAAGGGTTTACTCACAAGTGTGATAGAGCAGAAGCCTGATAGGGCTGGAGTAGGAAAAGTCTCAGGAAAACAACAGTAAAGTTTGGCACAGTGCAGACCTTGGCCGTTGATCCTTGAGCTGGAACTTTAAGCAGTGGAATAGTCCTGTGGGACCTGCTTAAAGTTAGGCATGTGCTTAAGTATCTTGCTGAAATAGGGCTTACTTATGCTGGTGTCAATTCAGAGTCAATCCACTGAGCGACTCTGGATTAACACTGGCATAACTGAATTGGCTAATTTGGCTAATTATTAGAATTTGGCTAACTATTATTATATTTTAGACAATAAAGTCCCCACTCACTGATGTACATACTGTATGTGTTTAGAGTCCATACAAATATTTATTATTTACCTATGAGGCCAGCTGAAAATTTTGTAGTTTAAAATAGATGATTTTTCTGGGACTGTGCTTTTACTGCTTGGTATAAATCTGCAGGCTAAATACCCAACACTGGAGCTCTTAGTCCCATGAATAGAGGCTACAGGCCTGGGCCATATTGTCCAAGAAGCCCCAAATCAAGGGAAAGTATGCAAAAAATTATCATCAAAAAGCAAAACTGAAAGTTCATAGGCTCAATTCCTCCATTTTTAAAAATACACTTAAGCACTATAAAAATTACTAGACTGACTTTCTCTCCCTCTCTCTCTTAAATGTGGTCAAAAATATCAATCACAAGCAAAGATCTTGGATGCCAATTTTCTACCCAGAATGATTTTTTTTTTTTACAGCTAAGTTATAAGCCTCTGAAAATAAAAGTTTATGATGAAATCACTGACAGACTCTTGGCTAAAGTGCAGTTGCTGTATATATATATATATATAATTTCATGAAAGGCAATTACACATCTGTAACTTTAACATTGCCCTGTTATCTTCATCTGATATATATTCAAACCCTTAATTGAAGTAAATATGATGGCCATCTGTCAAGTGCTAACTGGCAGGGCACCAAAATCTACTAGGTGATTTAATACAGATTTTGTAATCTAAAAAAGCTGTTGAAACATTGCTAAAGCTCTCTGAAGCACAGTGCTAACATTTGGAATGGGTAGTTAAAGTTCACTGCTTTCCTGTCAGAAAGACCATAGAGAACTCTAGAAATGTTTGTTTGCCCCTAGAAAAGGATTCAATACAAGATGCCATGTATGAAGCACTCCAGAATCAGGGGAAATTGGGATTCAATGCAGATTCTGTCTATACAGATATTTATAGTATTCCTGTGATAGTGAAGTGCCTAACTACTCCTAAGAGCACCATGACCTAATAAAGTACCAGAAGGGGACTCAGGTTCTACTCCTCACTCTGCCACTTATCTGCTGGGACCTTGGGCAAGTCAATGTACCTCTGGACCTCAATTTTCCCATCCTTGAAATGGGGACAATTATTAGAACTGAGTGAATAATACATTTTTCGGTTCTGTAGTTGAACCAAAATAAAAATAAGAAAACAAATTTGTTTTGGTTTCACCTGAAACAGAATTTTTTTATTTTTCTTGCCAAAACGAAAAAGCAAAAATGTTTTGTTTCAGGTTAAATGACTTGTATTATGCAACCCAAAACAAAATATTTTATTTTCTTTGTGGATTTTTTTATCTTTATTTTAATAAAGTAAGCCTAGCTAAATTTCTAAACAAACAGTGTTTCAAAATGAAAAGTCACAACATTTTGTTTCAAAAACGTTGAAATGAAATGTTTGGACTTTTTCTGATTTCCCCCTGTTTTTTTTGGTCAAAACTTTTTGCTAAATTCAACCCAAAATCATGAATAGTTTTGGTCAATCCAAGACTGTATTTTTTGGTGAATAAACTATTCGTCTAAAAATTTTTGCTCAGTTCTAATAATGGTACTGACTTCTCTATATAAAACTCTGAGCTCTATTGATGAAAAGCATTACATAAGAGCCAGGTGTTATTATCTGATGCAATAATATCTGATAAACTGATTACAAGTTGTCTGTGTCTGTATGAGGGATGAGGCCAAAACCTTGCATCCAAACTCCACTGAACTCTGGGGAGATTCTTCTCCAGATCCATTTTAATATCAAAAATGTGTAGGCAAGATCCATTTCTAGTCAAGTAGCTTAGGTCAAAGTGTTCAACTTGAGTACTTAAAATTAGCCTCCTAAATCTGTACCTAGACATGTAAATAAAAGTGGCTCGATTTGTAAGTGCACTCAGCAGCCTCAATCCAAGTGACTTCATTGAGAGTGGGATGGAGTCCTAAAAAGCCATTTGTAATGGCTTGAGAGGACACTATTTCATAGCAAAATGATAAGCAAACAGTCCTTCCTTAGTCTTCCTTCTTAAAGGTGTTGGTAAGGGAGATGTTCTTTTTCCTGGAAGAGGAATTCTCTTCTCTTGTTCTAAAATGTCAGGCTATATTCAGTATAGACAAGCCTGACAAGTATCCAGCTGCGGGTACACCAAACGATGTTTCTTTGTTCCTTTTTCCAAAGGCAGGTGAAATAATTTCTGAATTACACAGCTTGCTTGCATTGTATTAAATAAAACTCACTTAATCCACATGAAAGGGAAATGGGAATCCCCGCTGCAAATGCTGTACAAAGACAAGCCCCTTTTTGAACATTAATGAACATTAAATATTTGTATTGTCAACTGAAGATCTATTGTCTGGAAATTGGTTGTCCTGTTTTTTTTGTGGGTGGAGTGAGAGTGGAGAAAGGATTTAAAATAAATATTGAGATTAGTAACCATGCATAGCAAGGATGAAATGTTAAGAGTTAAGATGCCTATGTTTGCTATCATAGTTCCTCTCTGATTACAGTGATATGCTAAATTTGGTCTCTGTTTGTTTGTCAGGCAAAAGCAGCATTATTAAATGGCTGCAGAGACACAGGGAATTGTTCTTATCCCATCACAGGGTTTGCTTTGATAAATTCCAGCCTATTAGCTGCAAACACTTTCCTTGGGTCAGGATCACTGCAGAACTTCACAAATAATTTGTTGTTGTTGGCTTTCTTTTTTCATAAACCTGGAAGGAGGAGGATGCAAGTCTGGCTCTCAGAAACAGAAGAAATGATGAACTGACACATCTAAGTGCAATACTGGTGGTCTGAAGTCTGACATGCTGCATCAACCACCACAGAAGATTCAAGGCCTATTCAGTGTGTGTGGTTAGAAGCAAAAGTTCCCACCCAAACAAACCAGAGTCACTTCACCCGCAGAGAAGAGGTACTCACATGCAATGCGAACATAGGCCTTTCGACTCTTAGTAGTGCCGGCAGAGCTCCAAGCGACACACTGGCACCAGTAATCTTCAGGTCCAAAGAGTTCTTCCACCTGCTGACGGGAAATCTCAATGCTCACTTCCCGAACAATCAAACCTGTCAGGATACAATTAATATCCCGAGTGTATTAGAGTTGGTGAAGCTATTGTTCAGAGTAATATATTAGAGAGAGCGCGCATGCGAGAATGCTTGTTAAACTCTTCTGAGCCCTGGCTGATAATCTACTCAACAGCCCTTATCACGAGGAGACTGTTAAGAAAAACAACAACATTTTACTCACCCAACAACATTATAGGTGAGTGAACAAGTGAATATTTTGCAAGACTCATTTATATCATGTATACGTGCACACACACACACACACACACACACACATTATACATCTAAATATTGGGCAGATTCTCAGCTAGCGTAAGCCAGAGTAGCTCCATTGCTGGCACAGTACAATTTTAATACGAAACATGCTTCTCATCTCACACTATCGGGAGCTGTGTAAAAATACAAGTCTCCTCCTTTAAAAAACTATATCATCCTGTTTTGGAATGCTGATGGAGCAACTCTTGTTCACTCAAACACTAAATTGTGCACAGCACCGTGGCTTCACCCCTCATAAAAATATAACAGTTGTCTACACTGGTGGTCTCAAACCCTGCAGTTTAATAATTGTAAGCAGTATTGTTTTGAACAATACTGTCCAGAACAAGGGTCTACTCTGCACTACAGTATTGCACACCACTGTGCTCTGCATTGCCCCCTAACGTCTTCCCCCATATACGCTAATAATGCATTTTAATGCAATCCTCAAAAATCTGCAATGAAAACAACAGTGATGATAACGCTGTCACTGCCATTACAAACCTAACATTTCCCCAGTTACCACACAGTGCTATCTGATGTGAAACATTTTTTCCTATTCTAAGTACAAGGAAATATTGTGGTATCTGAGATACCACTGCAAAACCTGTTGGTAAGATGCTGACTTTTTAACACCAATTGACATACTCCGTGTTTTGCGTGATCCCACCCTTACAATTCACCAACCCTGTGAAAATGTTCTTCACTTCAGTTTTAAAATGGCAGCCAAGGTGTGAGTGTGTGTGTGTGTGTGGGGGGGGGGATTTATGCACCACTTTTTAACATATTTGCTCTGTGTTGCTAATGCCAAAGTCTCAAGAAACTTGTAGAGTGTGTCCATCCATAAAAAAAAAATCATCACCATTTCTAAAACTTAGTCCAACAAAGGACCTTAAGTATATAAACCTCACATACAAATATTTTGTATAGCGTGACTGATTTTCTTTTTCCTTACTGTAAAGCCAGGAAATTTAATTAAAAGATACTTGATCTTAGTCTGCATAGTTTGTCCCCATCACTGAATAACTAACACAGGGGTTATGAGTCTTTCTGCTGAACACAGACTTTCAGGCCAGCTACCCCCAGCCTCTTACAACATGAATTACAAGGTGATATTTATAACATGAATGTTCCCAATTGTACAGCACAGAGCGCACTGCATGCTCTGAAAGCCAAGCAAACCCTTGATTTTGCCTCCAGCCTCATAGAGGCTCCATTCAGGAAGCTGATGATTAATTAATATTTGTGCACAGTTGTATACTGTCATTTATGCTGCACACTCTTTCCATCCAAAACTCGGTTAACAACGTAACATCATAAAAAACAACAACAGGAATTGAAGCATGCAATATCATACAGAGTTTTGGTAGGAACTCTTTATAATTAGATGCATTTTCCTGCTAGGTATTATATAGCCTACCATCTTTTTAATTTCCTTATCTTTGACATGTTTGCCCAGGAAATTATAATCTATTTTGAGGAAAATACATACTAGCTTTTCTCCTTGAAACTAAACACTCAAAATTTGGTTGCTGTACTTCGATGAAGTAAAAACAAAATACGGCATATATATTTGGAAATGTGGCAAACGCCACCTTCTAAAACTGCTTTGCTTGGAAGAGCTCAATTGGCTCCAAAAGTGGTCCAGGGCTGTTCATCGTCCTATCTATAAGGGGAAAATAGCTTATATATACACAGGATGTGCACAAAAGGGGTTATGTTTTCACAGTGCAATTGCTGCTAGTCTAAAGATCTCACTTCAGTACATTCCCACTTTTTATAGCCTCAAGAGCCTAGCAGTTTGAATGTTACAATATTGTGTTTTTACAACGAGGCTGATTATAATGGAATTTGATGGAGCAGAGAGTTAGGTTACTATAGGGCTAAAGCAAGTAGTCTTATAATGAAAGGGGAGTACTGGTTAATAATGATTACAAAATGGATTAAAATTCTGGATGCAAATCCAGTTTTCTGATATGTTGAAGATACGAAATATACATCATGTCAATAACATCCATTAAATACACTGGCACAACTTTTATCTCTTGGTTCTTAATACATTCTCCATTTAATAGCAACAAGCTCGTCTAGGCACTGCTTTTCTAGGACATAACAAACGCTCACAGGTTTCAGGTTGTTTAAAGTCTTTTGCTCTCACAAATTGTGTGGTAGCCATCTAGAAGCACATTTTCCGTTTGTGCTTAAAAGGATGTGATCATAAATACAGTATCACCATATGATTACATCTGTCTCTAAGCCAGGGGTTCTCAAACTGGGGGTCGGGACCCCTCAGAGTGTCGCGAGGTTATTACATGGGTGGGGGGGTCGCGAGCTATCAGCCTCCACCCCAAACCCCAGCATTTATAATGGTGTTAAATATATATAAAAAAGTGTTTTTAATGTGTAAGGGGGGTCGCACTCAGAGGCTTTCTGTGTGAAAGGGTTCATGCATCCGAAGAAGTGGGCTATAGTCCACGAAAGCTTATGCTCTAATAAACTTGTTAGTCTCTAAGGTGCCACAAGTCCTCCTGTTCTTCTTTTTGTGTGAAAGGGGTGACCAGTACAAAAGTCTGAGAACCCCTGCTCTAAGCTAAAAAAATTTTCTAGCATATATAGAAGATCAAATCAGTTGCTGAGACATTAGCTGGGACGATATGCTATATGTATAGGTAGTGAATGTAGAAATTTATGGGCCAGATTCTGACACTCTTAATTTTGTTAAGTAGCACCTTACTCCATTAGGAACCACACTGATTACTTATGGAGTAAGGTACTAGTCTGTGTGAGTAAGCACTGGTGCTGACTGGCAGCAGGAGGCCCCAGCCACTGGGGCTGACAGCAATTTCTGATTAAAATTATTAAGCCTGACTCATGATCTCGGGCGAGAACACCTTTGAGTGTTCTATACTGAGATCATGAGTCAGGCTTCATTTTACGTTGAAATCGCATCTCTCGCGAATAATTCACAGAGTTGGCATGTCTGGCAGAAGGTGACCCTGCACGATTCCTCCTGAACTTTCACACGCTGTAAGGGTCTGATTCTGCTGGCCTTACTCATGCTCAGTAGTGCCTCATTTCACAAGGAGTCCCAGTGATTGAAAAGGAACTTCTTACCTAGTAAAGTACCACTCGACCTAAGAAAAGGTGGCAGAATCTGGCTGTAGGGTCATACAACTAGGAATGGGGTAATTTTCCTCTGTGTTGTAACAGGTCAGAATCCTATTGGTGTCACTTAAAAAATAAACCTTACCATGGTCACACTTCCTAATTGTGTTAGGAAACATTTAATTTGAGGTATCTCAGACAGCAGCTGACCTATTAGCATGCTGAAATGATGCTGTATAGGTCCCACAGAAGACCTGATACAGTTTCTCTACATTCATCCAGTACTGTACTGCTTAAAAACCTCACAGGAGAATAATAATAGCATGATAACCTTGACAGGAGGACTTCTAAGCGAGATCCTGAGCTTACCACTACTGGAAGTGCTTCTACTATTCAATCACAGGAAACAGGTTGAATTCATTTCGTAATGTTCCTCACGAGCCACCTTTTGCATTACAAATGTTGTTCTAAGGACTCAGTTGATTTGCAATGTAACTTTTAAGGTAGGTCAAAACGTGGATGTTAAATCCTGACAACATCCCGTTAAACACTGTATGAGACCAAGAGACTGACAGTAACAGTAGAATAAACTAATTTCCTCTACATCCCCCACTGCTTTTTTAGTCCTTTGTTTTTTACAGAACTACACATATCCTGGTTTAAATGCAACCCAGCCTTTATACTCACACTGGGCCAACTTCTGCACTGATTTACACCTCATACCACCTCACGAATTGCATGGGATGTAAGTCAGCGTAGAATTTGCTCCACACCACACATGCTTTATAGCCCAATTTTTTTTAGATGGCTTCTATATTTGCTCTCACAGATTCTGAGTGTGCCTGTTTGGACATTCAGTTCTACGTCTACCTGCCTGACTATATACGGATGCACATACTCATGAGCACAAAATTAGAAGCCATTTTTAAACACTTACCCCTGTGTGTCTACCACACATGCACCACACACAAAGGAGGATTCAATAGCTCGGACGACTGGTAGTTGCTTATGGAGCACTTAACTTCTAGGACACCAATTCAAATCCACCCCGTATCAGTAATAACTGAAACACGTTACCATCCCACAGATGTTTCATTTCTACTGTGAAATGAGTTGATAGTTTCAGTCAAGTTCCCAGCATACAGGTATCCACAACACAAAATAAAGCCCCATTCACAACTGCATACCTGCCGATAGCCTGACAAAACTCCAGTAAATTGCAAATTTGCATAAATTAATATATTTGCATAAATTCAAACATGAACCACCAGAAGCAGATGCCTTCCTATTTTATAGTTATGCAATAACAAACCCAATTGTAGGGAGATAATTGAATGCATTTGTGGGCAGCTAGAATGTTTGATAGGTTCCATATACTGTATGTAAATTCAATAAATAAAGATACCATCTTTATTAAAAGCTTCCCTGCTGTGGTTACAGCATAGCTCCTACTCTCTTTCATGGAAATAAATAGCAAGAAGATGATTGGTGGGGATGGGGAATTTTTGCTTGTACTATCTCCTAGTTTGAGGTTTATCCCTTGGCCTGCATGCTCACCTAGGAACATAAGGGGAATATACACTTCTACCCCTGTGCAGGCTACCCAGACCTTGGATGCAGCCATCCACGAATGAGTG